AGGTACCATTCCGCTGACCTCGCCGCCTCGAATCCTGCCCTCTTTGGAGCTGCCAACCCCTTGCCATATTGGCCCCGAAACTCATCCCACATCTCCTTGACTCCACATGGTTTGGGGGGCGCGTCATGTGGCTGATCTGGGAGTGCTCCGTCCGCCTCTAATCTTTGTCTCTCCTACCAAATCTCCTCCACACGTTTCCCGACCCTGACCCATCTCTCTTTTGTTGTCTTTCCTGGCGGTGCTCTCCCTCTCGTCTGATGGTCGCCTCTCTCTGGAATCTCGGCCAACGCCTCTCTCTCTCCGCCTGGTGTGGCTCCCGTGGTGGCTCCATAGGCCTGTCAATGTCAGGGTGCCCCTGGGCATGCGCAGCCAGATACCTATCGACCGTAGAAAGGGCCTCTCTCCTCCAGCCAATCCTCTATCGCTCCATCTTTACCCTCACTCCTAGCGAAAGAGTCGTATTTGGGGGAGGGGGTGCAACCTCTTCCTGCCGGAGCTCCTCCCCTGCCTGTTGAGCCACATCCGACACCATCTGAAACCCGGTTTCTGGAGCTGGCGTCCGAGGCGGAGTATCCCCTCCAACCTCTATCACTTCCTCCATCACTCTCCCTCCCTGAGTGCCTCGTTCCGCCTCTCGCCCTTGCTCAGGGACCATCTCTCGTGGCACCCCTCCAGCCGGCTCATCGCGCCTCTCGTCAGTCTAATGCACCCTTCATTGGGATATATCCAAGTGTGCGTCCAGCTCCTGCAGTGATCCTTTGGATGGCGGCACCTCCTCTCGTGCATGTTGAAGGGATCCTCTCAGTCCCTCTCCAATGAAACGATGAAAAACCACTGGGCCAAATGCGCACTCAAGATATACTCGCTGCTCCTCTGTCTCGGGTACTGACTCCTCTCGCCTCAGGCTCGCAAGTGCCTTCCGCCCTCCTTGAGATGGGATGACCTCTCTAGCCCCAGGGCCCCTCTACCTCTTGGTCCTCTGCTGCCTCTCAACCCTAGGCTGAGTTGGCTCTGGCCGTCGAAAGGCCTCCCTGAGGTGCGCCCTGCAACTCTTCGAGTCTCGAGCCATGTCCCTGATCTAACGGGTCAACGGTTTCTCCGCCTCCCTGGTCCATAGAGGTAGCATCCGCGCCCACTCATCCCTTAATATGTTCTGCTCGTGCATGAACTGTTCAAAAGCAAGGATGAAGTCCTCCATATTCTCAATCTCTAGGCGGATTAGCACGCCGCCTGGTCCCATGGGCGATGGCCTCAACTCCTGCATCCTCAGCTCTACCTCCGGCCAAGTCCCCGCCTCTCTGCGGATCCGTGAGATGGGCTCCTCAAATCTGCCAACTCCCCTCAACCTCTCTATCCTCTGTGCCACTGTCCACCCCATATGCTCCGCATACCCTCGATACTCGTCCATGAAGAGCTTTATATCCCCGTCGTCATACACGGACGTGTGCTCCCTCTGGTGAGACCCATGCCGCTCGTAAACCCCTGATGCTCCCAATGACCTTCGTGGTGGCCATGTCTCCCTCCCTCCTCTCGGCATGGCTGTCTTCGTAAGGTGAGACCTGCACAATAGGCGAAGGAGACAATAGGCACACCACAGGGAGACGCAAACAGGCAGCTAGGGTTCACTCAGATCAAAAGGCAAGTACAGATCCTACTCATACATTCTACCTTCTCACGCCTTTTTAGGACCTAACTACATACCTTTTCTGCATACATAAGGTCCTACTATTAACGGGTTACGCCTATCTCACCTCCTCTCTTGCCACAAACTTCTTCAGCCTCGTTCCTGACACCCTATCCTTCCACCTTGTTCCATCCAGCTCCTCAATTTCATAGGCATCAAAATCCCCACATCTCACAACCTTGTATGGCCCTAACCACCTTTTGTCAAGCTTCCTGGACCACTGCTTTTACATGGACGAGTCGCATAGCAACACGACATCTCCAACTTTCAATGGTGTCTTTCGTACGCGGGCCAATTGGTTCCAACGAGCCTTGTCATCCATGCGGCTCTTCTCCACCTGATTGGATGCCTCTTGTTTTCTTTCCTCCATCGCACTCACCTGTCGCGCCCGAATGTCAAGCAGTTCCTCAAAGGGCAAGTTGGTCTCCAGGTCCTGACGCCTCCAGGTTTTCAGAAAACTTTCAATAGGGAAAGTAGCATGTCTTCCGTACCATAGCGTGGTTGGCGTGTACTTAGTGGTTCTCTTCAGGGTTGTCAGGCGGGGGCCCCCGGGGGCAAAGCCGGGGTAGGGGTTCGACCCTCGGACCCCCGCCGCCGGGGTGCCCCACCCCCGCCGCCGGGGTGCCCCACCCCCGCCCACC